TAAAATACATCTTACAATATTTTCATTTACTTACTGCAGCATCTTTCACTCTCATCTTCCTCATCTTTTCAGTTTACACGTTATGTGCTCCCAACTTATAACACATATGGAAATTTGGCAACTTTGAATCAATTTCATACAATTTAATTATATGATTCCAGGATGCCCTTTTCTGTCGACTTGTTGTATAACCTGGTATGATGAAAAACTGGTTCGTATACATTTTAGCATTTAGTGGTACAATTTCTTGATTGCCAACAAGAAAACCTTGAAGTTTGCAAATTCGATCAACTCTAAGAAACTGTGCTCTTGTCTTATTAAGCAGCATGTTCATAGCAGCTGCATTTGTAGCATGTTGATCACACACAGTAACTACAATATTGATGCCAATTTGCTGCAGGTTTGAAATAACATCTTTGATGCAGACCTCGAATTCAGGACTTCTAACACTGCTTTCAGCAAAGTAAAATGCCACTGAAGTTTTAAAATGGCCACTGAAGTTTTAAAATGGCCATTCCATGCCTTTAATCATAAACACCAAAGCATGATCAGCAAATTTTGGCCTTTTTTCAGTGACTTCCTCAAAACCAATTATGCTGTCCTTAGTCGCATCATATTCAATACCTGCTGCAATGCTAATTTAAACCAACATGAGGACACACTTTCTATTAGAAGGATTCATCTTAAGAACAGAAGTGCACAAAGTCTCCATGAAAGATTTATTAATGCCAGCACTGACAGAAATTGTTGCCAATGACCTAGAAACAGTACTTTTAGAAGGTAGAGCCAAAAAGGATGTACAATATTTACAGTATGTTGGGCTCTGCTTATATAATGCTATTCCAAGGGCTTTTCATCAAGGTTATATTTTCTACCGGATTCCTCATCTTGCACTTTATTAATGTTGCAGTGAGTGAATTCACATTTTTTAAATACTGCATGCTATCTTTACTGCATGCTTCCTTCAGCTCTGCTCTGGCAATTTCATTATTTTTCATAAGTCTTTTGGCACTTCTCTTCATCATCATGATTATGGCATGGCTTTTCTTTACTTCTGGAGAAAGTCGCCTGCAATGCCTTAGGCCAACAAACCTCAAGAAATTACTCTTTGGAGTTCGAATATCTAACAAAATGAATGATTAGATTAATGAAAATATGATAAATAATAAATAATAAATATATATATATATATATATATATATATATATATATATTAAATGTTAAATATGAAATATACAACACTCAGATTTTTAACACACACTTTATTTAATAATTACAGACGTTTCAAGACCAAGGTATGCCTCATCTTCAGTGTAATTTCAAAAACAGTTACTTATATACTACACATTCTTTAATATTTTATTTAAATTACATTTAATTTTTGATATACAAAAAACACCAACTATTCCTTGCAATGCTTGACTCAGTACTAAAAAACATGTGACAAATTTTCTACACAAATCTTAAGTATCGAGATGGAGAACAGGAAGGGTATTATTATAATGTAAACAAAAGGAGTGCGATTGCGAACAAAAATATAGAAACAAATTAATTGCAAGTAATTTTACTTTTTCTTCATTGAAACCATTAAAATTTTTATATTCCAACATTAAAGATGAATCTCCTTTAGCAAAAAAGAAAGAGACGCTTGTGGATCATGGTAATATCAACAACCATAAGTTTGATTTTGACAATCCCCAAATCTTATTCCATGAAAAAGACTTATTCAAACGGAGCATGGCAGAATCAATGTTAATAGTTCAGACTAAGAATAGCGTAAATCTGAGAACCGATACAAATATTTCTACTAATCAACAATATTTCCTTCAATTTACAAGCCTTGAAAAGTTAATGTAGTTTTTTTTTCCTGCAATTTTATTTGATGGATGATGGAATCAAATCATGTCTTTATAATAATGTCTCTATTGTAAGGCTTTAGTTTGACCAAAAATAATAAAAAAATAAGTAAATTAATTTATTATTTACTTATTCTATTGATAAAATATTATTTATCATTATTATATTGTTTTTATTGAGAATTATTTCGAGATTATGACATAAGCTTTGAGGCACTTAAGGGGGTATTCTACTGTAGAATTTTGAACAAATCGAAAAAATTTTTTTTCATATTTTCAAAGTTTAGTTATTCAAAAATATGCCATTAAAAGGATTTTTCAAAATTACTATTATTTCCTGAGTTATAGCCGTTTTAGTGACGTGACCTCGGTTCGGATCCGACTTGTCTCAAAACTTTGAACGCGTTTTTCTCGGAACTACTTTTTTTTGAGCTGGCGGTAAGGATATCTCGAGTTCTAATGAGCCGATTTACTTCAAATTTGGAGAGAATCTTCTCTATACATCGCTTTATCGTATGGACCTTGCCCAAAACTATAACTTTTCATTTAGTATTTTTAAAAAATTCGGATTTGTTAAAAAAACATGAAAAAAAATATTTTTTTTTTCAAACTGCCGCCATTCAAACAAAACAAATCTGTTTAACTTATCCAAGGTTCATACGATAGCGGCATCTAATTAAGAATCCATCTATTTTTTATGTTTCAAATCACCAAGAGGGTTGGAATCATGTAAGCCAGGACACCCTCTTTTTTTTTGGGAATCTCCACTTTGACTGCTCATAACTTTGTGAATTTTAATTTTTTTTTAATAATAATTTTTTTATGTAATGATAAAATATCAATAAACAAATGATAAAAAAATCGATAGTAAAAATATTATTGGTTTCCTTTATACAGCGCTTCAAAAACCGGGCGAAATTCATGACTCTACAGTAGAATACCCCCTTAACCTTAGAAATGTTTACTGCATTTCTTTATTTAATTAATCATTATACTTAACTATGTTTTAAGTGCGTTGAAGTAAATTTATTATTTTCAATAAACATTCAGCGTTCACATTATTACTGTGTCTTGTTTATTATAATTTATAACATTTATTTAATATCTTTTTTCTTTAACAAACATATATAAAACTCATGAAAACCACAAACTGATAGCCCCAATTAGTTCATATTTATTATGGCGCTGCAGGGGCGCTCTGAGCGTATACAGAAAATAGCATTTTTTTGTTTTTTTATGTTAATATTCGCAGTCCCACGTTAGTTTATGCTGTGATTGTTATGTGATATTGCTATTATTGACAAATTTTGTAAATTTGATGACTTTAAATAATTTTTATCTTCACCGCTACTTTAAATAACAAAACTGACGTTTCACGGAACATGTTCGAGCAAAAAAGATTTAAGCCCTCACTGCTTTGAGTTTGAGGCGTTTGTTTGGAATGAATTGCCTTCGTTCGTGTTCGTGTTTGTTCTTCTTTGTAATTTCTTGTTTGTCATTTTTATTCGTTAGGTGTGGATGCAGCTTAAGAACATCGGCTCACTAGCGCCGAATTCTCACCTACATGTCGATAATACGAATCACGGTTGTGATCGAGGATTTTGCTTCTGTTTGTGTCCCTGTTTGTGTCTGAATAACAAATTTTAATGTACTGAACGAACTTTATATTTTTTGTATATTTAATTATTAATTAAATGTTTAAGTATATTCAGTATGTATAAATTTAAATATAAATATATAATAATATGTATTATAAAGCGGTATTTGTGATTGATTGCTGAACATAAAGGTAGTGTATAATACTTTGAGGTTATTCCACGTGACTAACTTTTAATTAAATTCATTTCATTCCGAAAAAACATTTAATTCTAAATAAAGATACGCAACGAAAACGTAAAGTAAATTTTACTTTTTTTCATTTTGGCTCTGCAATAATTATATGACAAGTCAATAGCTTTAGTTGATTCAGAATCACCGTCTGTCAAATATAAAGTCTTTTGAAGAAGAAATTCTCTTGGCGACATTGTCCAAAATAGACTCCTGTTAACTTAATGTAAGATTACATTCTTAGACAAATCCATTATACGAATATATTTATATTCTCAGAATCATTTGTGTTGACAGTTGAGAACGATTATTAATTTAAACATACACTCTTGTAAAATGTTACCAAAGCATAAATGCAATGCACTTTCTAAAATCATACTCCATGCTCCAACTGTCAATAACTAATGTTTTCATTTGTATTTCTAATCAAATTAATTATCATATTTAACAATAGTTCATTTAAACTAACCAACTATTTTTGTTCATGCTTATAGAACATACTCAGTGCACAAATATCTGAAAATGTCAGAAGCTGCTGATGATCCGATAATTAAAATTGAACCACAAGAATATCCAATCGAAGACATTAAACAGGAAATTGAGGAAGACCCTGAATCGTGCTCAGAGGATGACAAAACATGTCTAAAGAAATTTATGAACTCTATTGTAAAAATAGAAGAAGATGTCAAACAGGAAATAATTCAAACTGCTCCTTATAAATGTGACAAGTGTCATAGAACATTTAGAAAGTTGCATTATTTAGAACAGCATATGGTAAATTATTGTCATAAGTGTACATATTGTTCAAAGACTTTTTCAGATGCAAGTGCATTAGAAATACATATAAAATCTCATACAGGTGAAAAACATTTCACATGTACAAAGTGCAATAAAGCATTTACTGAAAAATATCATTTAGATCAACACATTTGCGCTTCTGCGAAAGAACATATTTTACATTTGAATGAATCTAGTAATCGAAAACGAAATATTCGCGCTCATACTGCAAAGGGACAAGGTGGACGTCCCTATATTTGCCAAATTTGTGATAAGACATTCACAGTATTGAGTGCCTTGAATAGACATATGATCATCCACACTGGTGAACGTTCGCATATTTGCCAAATTTGTGATAAAACATTCACACAATTGGGTACCTTGAATAGACATATGTTCGTCCACACTGGTGAACGCCCCTATATTTGCAAAATATGTGAAAAGACATTCACACAATTGAAAGTTTTGAATAAACATATACTTATTCACACTGGTGAACGTCCCCATATTTGCAAAATATGTAAAAAGGCATTCACACAAATGGGTAACTTGAATCAACATATGCGAATACACACTGGTGAACGCCCCTATATTTGCAAAATATGTGATAAGGCATTCACAGAAATGGGTACCTTGAATAAACATATGCTCATTCACACTGGTGAAAGGTCACATATTTGCCAAATATGTAATAAGACATTCGCACGATTGAGTACCTTGAAATTGCATATGCTAATTCACACTGGTGAACGTCCTCATATTTGCAAAATATGTAAAAAGGCATTCACACAAATGGGTAACTTGAATCAACATATGCTCATCCACACTGGTGAGAATCCTTATATTTGCCAAGTTTGTGATAAGACATTCAGTTACTTGTGTAACTTGAATAGACATATGGTCATTCATACCGAAGAATGCCCCTACAAATGCAAAATTTGTGATAAAGTATTCAAACGTTCAAAAGCCCTGAAAAGGCACATGGTTGCTCATACCAATAAGTAATTAGTATTTACAAAATTGGTAACAAAATTACATATGACTGCTTATAGAAATTAATGTTAATTAGATATATGAATTAATTTATACATTTTAAAAAATAAATAAACATTGTTATCAATGGCTTTAGGGTAAATATTTTATTAATGATGTACATCCATTCCAGGTTTAATAAGATTTGCAATTGAGCCACAACTGTTAGTAGAATCTTCAAAAAAAGCCTAGTTTTTAACTTACCGTAGGTTAAGCTATTGTGATCGCCCAAAAAACGAAACTGAAAAATTTTGCATATCATTACGATTCAGAGGTTTCTAAACATTTTGGCATACCTTAGAAAAAATTGATATGTGCATGTATGTGTGGATGCAATTTTTCATCGACGATTTCAAGCGTACGGATCAACCGATTTGAAAAATTTAAAAAGCAATTGATTCTTACAAATAGAGAGACGTGCTGATTAGTTTTTGGTAAAGGTAGGCCAGCCATTTCGGAGTTACGAAGCAAAAAGTGTAGAAAATAGAAATCGAGTTTTTTAGAGAAAGGTGCATCCAATTTGAATGATTCAAAAAACATTTAATTCGTAATGATGAGTAAAAGTGGTGAATAGTGTTTGGTCCAGCGGTCCAAATGTTGACAATTCATATAGGCAAAATGATTATTTTTGGGGAAAACCAAAAGCGAATTGTTTCCTTAGAGAAGACAATTTTGGTAAGAAATAACTTGGCATATAATTTATCTATGTAGGATTTGAATTTTATGTTATGTATCTCTGAATAATGCAATTTGGATTAGTTTTTTTATTTTTATTTATTTATTTATTTGATATAATTCATACATACTGTATCTCAGTCAGACAATTATTCTGGTATGAGAGATCACAGCAATTATAACAAAAATAAAATCTAAATTTTATGTAACAGACTTACATTAAGACATATATTTTTACTTATTACTATTATACACACATATATAAACACACAGAATGTTTGCGTACATACATACATACTTATACTTAATTGTAATTAATATTTTTACAAAACAGAAGTAATATAGTATTTAAAATAGGAATTTTAACTCATTTGTTTCATTTATCTCTTATGTAATTTTTCAATTTAATTTTGAAATTGTCCGTCATTGTCTTTAGTTCGTCCGGTAGTTTATTGTAAAGGCTGCTTGCACTTCTCAGAGGACTTGCAAGTCCTTTACTAGTTTTTGCATGTTTCATGTGAAAGTTTCGGTTTTGTCTTGTTTGATGGTCGTGTATATCCTGGTTTGTCTCTATTTTGGTGCAAGTTTTGATTTTGTTATTTTTTATTTTGAGTATTAGTATACATTTTTCTATTTCTATTGTTTTTTGTAGTGATATGTTCTTACTCTTTTGTAGAGTTCTTTTGTCGGGGTGAGGTAGGGATAATTGTAAGTTGATTTTATTGCTTTATTCATTATTCTTTGTAGTGTCTTTATATTTTTATTTATTGTTTGACTCCAAATCGTGATGCCGTACGTCATAATCGGAATTATATGAGATTTTAATATTAGTTCTTTGTTCTTAATTCCAAGGTGTCGTATTCTTCTTATGGCCCCAGAAAGTGCTGCAATTTTTTTTTTGATTTTCTCAATTTGGTCACTCCATTCTAGTTTCTGGTTTATAATCATACCCAAATATTTAGTTTTTTCTATTTATTTTCTAGTTATTAAACAAATTAAATAAAATGTGTTATTCTTATTGCAGAAGATTGTCATGCAAAGCCATTTTTTACAATGCACTTTACAGTGCAAACAGTTGCAGTAATATCACTTAATAAAGAAAATGTAATTCAAAATGAAATAATCTTATTGCATTCTGGATCGCTGGATGTTTGATCTTTCATTAAAGGTATTTTAAAGTTATTTTATACAGGTTATACTTGAAATTTCAGTAAAATTAATAGGTTCAATTAAAATTGTAGCGGATCTATCTGCACATGCAGGTGTTCCAGTTGTGCTAGATACTCCAGATTCGGTTACATTAGATGTTCCTGCCGAGCATATCTCTATAAGACGATCAGGTATATATATAAAAAAAATATATATATATATATATATATATATATATATATACTCAGATTTTTAACACACACTTTATTTAATAATTACAGACATTTCGAGACCAAGGTATGCCTTGGTCTTATATTTACTTAGTAGTACTAGTAAATAGTTCTTATCTACTACAGTATATATATACTCACATATATATGAGTATATATATACACATTATTTAATATTTTATTTAATTTTTTATATACAAAAAACACCAACTATTCCGTGCAATGCTTAACTCAGTACTAGAAAACATGTGACGGTTACAGAAATATTATAAACAAATCTTAAGTATCGACATGGAGAACAGGAAGGGTATTATTATAATATAAACAAAAGGAGTGCGATTACGTACAAAAATCAACAAATATGGAAACAAATTAATTGCAAGTAATTTTACTTTTTCTTCATTGGAACAATTAAAATTTTTATATTCCAACTTTAAAGATGAATCTCCTTTAACAAAAAAGAAAGATATAGTTTATAAAGTAAATTGTTTGGATTGTAATTGTTCTTATATTGGCCAGACTTGACAGAACTTAGAAAAAAGACTCAGGCAGCATGAATTACAATGCGAAAAAATAGATAACAAAAAATTTAAAAGTACGCTTGTGGATCATGTTAATATCAATAACCATAAGTTTGATTTTGACAATCCCCAAATCTTGTTCCATGAAAAAGACTTATTCGAATGGAACATGGCAGAATCAATGTTAATAGTTCGGACTAACAATAGCGTAAATCTGAGAACCGACACAAATATTTTACACGACTCTTATATAAACATCATTAATAATTTATATTTTTTTTATTTCTCTTATTCTCTTCAATAAATTAATTTGATTTCATATTTGTTGATTTTTGTATGCCATTGCACTCCTTTTGTTTACATTATAATACCCTTCCTGTTCTCCATCTCGATACTTAAGATTTGTTTAGAATATTTCTGTAAGTGTCACATGTTTTTTAGTACTGAGTCAAGCGATGCAAGGAATAGTTGGTGTTTTTTGTATAAAAAAAATTAAATGTAATTTAAATAAAATATTAAAGAGTGTGTAGTATATAAGTAACTGTTTTTGAAATTACACTGAAGATGAGGCATACCTTGGTCTTGAAATGTCTGCAATTATTAAATAAAGTGTGTGTTGTATTGTTCATATTTAACATTTAATATATATATATATATATATATATATATATATATATATATATATATATATATATATATATATACTAGCTGACCCGACAGACTTCGTCTAGTCAAAAAATCTACCAAAGCGGTTTTGATTGCTCTGTTGATCTTTTAAGATTCAGTCTAAAGCGTCAAAAGATTTTTTATGTGCCAACGTGCATTCAGAGTTCTTCGAAATGTTGCAAGTTGGAGTTTTATTGCTTTGCATATTCAATGGCAATTTTAGTACTGAATGGGCTGTTCGACCACATTCGAGTAAAGTTGCTGTGATTCCCGATGAAGCGGGTGCAAGTGCAATTTTGTTTTGTGAGCAAATTGTTGCTAATATTAATAAAATCAAAAAAGTTTTTTCTGTACCACCAGGCGCATCTAAGAAGTAAATCCCCCCAGTTCCATCATTTGTTACTTTCATAAGAATATCAAATACATACCTCTGTTGTTCATTCAACAGAGGAAGATTTGTTTCGATTAATTCTTTCAAATTGTTGAGATCATACAGTTTTTCTCAGTTAAAAGCATGCATTGGACGATTGGGCGCGGCAAGGCCTAAGTGAATTAATACTTTGTTTGACATCATCAAGCACATTACTACATAGCGGCCCATTTGGTATTGAGTAACTTTTATGTTTATTTCGGTCGTCATGTTTTTAGCTTTGTTTGTAGCATTTCGTATCTTCTACTTAAATTGCCTCTTCTTATAGGAGACAATATCAAAATATTGTGTCATATGCAATAACTTTTTATTCAAAGGTAGATAACAAAACACTACAAACAAAACAAAAGCACACTCAGTAGAGTATAACAGAAAATGCAAGAAAACACCACCGGCAAGGGCGGCAAATGGACATTGACATTGATTTCTTTAATCTTTTATGACTTGAAGTTAAATTCTTTAACACCATACCAATTTTATCGCCTGTCGAAAGTAAAACAAAATAAATAATATCAAGAAGCCGACTACGATTATTTGTATTAGTTAGAAAAGGACTGTTTTTATGGTTTTTCCGACAATTATTCGAATTTTTCTCGCCGTAAGAACCATCCTTGGACATCAATGAACATTTTAAAAAAAGAATTGGCCAAATTGGTTCAGGCGTTGTTGAGTTATGCGCTTACCAACACATTTTGCGATCCATTTTTATATATAAGATATTTATATTATTTATTATTTATCATATTTTCATTAATCTAATCATTCATTTTGTTAGATATTCGAACTCCAAAGAGTAATTTCTTGAGGTTTGTTGGCCTAAGGCGTTGCAGGCGACTTTCTTCAGAAGTAAAGAAATCCCCATGCCATAATCATGATGATGAAGAGAAGTGCCAAAAGACTTATGAAAGATAATAAATTTCCCAGAGCAGAGCTGGAGGAAGCATGCAGAATTTATTTTAATGAGGAACCAGGTAGAAGGTATAACCTTGATGAAAAGCCCTTGGATTAGCATTATATAAGCAGAGCCAAACGTACTATAAATGTCGTACATCCTTTTTGGCTCTACCTTCTAAAAGTATTGTTTCTAGGTTATTTGCAAGAATTCCTATCAGTGTTGGCATTAATAAATCTTTCATGGAGACTTTGCGCACTTCTGTTCTTAAGATGAATCCTTCTAATAGAAACTGTGTCCTCATGTTGGTTGAAATTAGCATTGCATCAAGTATTGAATATGATGCGACTAAGGACAGCATAATTGGTTTTGAGGAAGTCTCTGAAAAAAGGCCAAAGTTTGCTGATCATGCTTTGGTGTTTATGATTAAAGGCATTCGTAGCCATTTTAAAACTTCAGTGGCATTTTACTTTGCTGAAAGCAGTGTTAGAAGTCCTGAATTCGAGGTCTGCATCAAAGATGTTATTTCAAACCTGTAGCAAATTGATGTTAATGGAAAAAACATTATTGGATGTGAAGGAGAATGTAATGATTGGTTCCACAAAAAGTGTGCGAAAATTACTAATGAATAAGGTAAGATATTCACATGAAAGTAATTGGAAAGAAATAATAATATTATTTATATATTGTCAGTACTATTGTAGCTACTGTGTGTGATCAACATGCTACAAATGCAGATGCTATGAACATGTTGCTTAATGAGACAAGAGCACAGTTTCTTGAGATGATCGAATTTGCAAACTTCAAGGTTTTTTTGTTGGAGATCAAGAAATAAGAACCACTAAATGCTGAAATGTTTACAAACCAGTTTTTCATCATATCAGGTCATGCAACAAAAGGGCATTCTGGAATCATATAATTAAATTGTATGAAATTGATTCAGAGTTGCCAAATTTTGTATTTGTATGTGTTATAAGTTGCGAGCACATAATGTGTATCCTGAAAAGATGAGGAAGATGAGATTGAAAGATGCTGCAGTAGTTTTCTCTTATAGTGTATCTTCAATGATGAACAGATACGCTACTAAGCAGTGTAAGTAAATGAAAATATTGTATGATGTATTTTATAATTAAACTTTTTTTATTCATATTCTAGATGATAATTTTCCTCAAGAAGGTACTGGAACTGTTGCATTCCTGAAATTTGTGGATAAACTCTTTGACAGTGTAAATGGGATAGCTTCCAGTTCTGCTAGGGACCATAAACCTCTATGGGGTGCTCTCACATATAAGTCTAAACATTTAATATTTTGGAAAAAGGCTAGGCTTGTCTTAAAAAGCATAAGCTTCTATAGAAAAGGCGAAAGAGTTAAAACTCCTCCAACTATTCGAAATTGGATTAAAATTCTAGAGGGTTTTGAATTTATTTGGCAGAAAATATAATCTCCAGAGATAAAATTTTTGTCAACTCGCAATTTTAACCAAGATCCTCTACAATTTTTTTTTGTAGTATTAGAAGTCATGGTGTTAATAATCGCAATCCTATTTGCAGTGCATTTATTGGATCCTACAAAAGCCTTGTTATCAATAAGTTTCAATCTGTTCATTCTTATTCTGCCAATTGTGAGCTTGACAAAAATGAAGGAGCTATTGATTCATTGAAAACATTATTATTGAGTAATGCTTCAGTCAATGTTACGTGTGAGTCTAGTTTGAATGAAGATATTCTAACTTTGTCTAATGTGAATCTTCAAGGCTTCATTTCCAGGAAAATGTTGAAAAATGTTAAATCTTGCTTAATGTGCCAGGCTCATATTTTGGCAACAGAAAGGAGTGGAGATGATTATTTGTTAATAAGGATTAGGGATCGAACTGGAAGATCTCTTGTCTTTCCTTGTAGAAGCTTTGTGAACATTTTTTCAAAATGCGTGAGAGTTTCAGAATATTTTTTGCCTAAAATTTGTGTGAAGAATAATTTGAAAACATTGCTTTTGATAAACTTGTCTTTACTCAAAATTTTAATTTTGATTGCCCAATTCATAATTTAAAGTTAATATTTTTAAACCATTTTGTTCTGTATTTTATCAAATATATTGGGTTAATGATATTAATTTAGCACTACGCAATAAAATGACTTTCACAAATCCTATGAATGTTATGAAAACAAAAGCTTTATTGCATTTTGATAAAATTAGAAAGAGACAACTGGCAATTCGAAATATCGTGGTTTATCAGGATATATTTAAAACGTAATTTTTCAATATAAAATGTTGAAATACTGTTATAAATTCAATCAAATCTTAATATTGTAGCCTTTTCTAGTTTTTGACATAAATATCTTAAGCATAATATTCTGACAGCATTATTTTATTATTATTATTATATATTATAATTTTTATTTTTATTTATTTTTACTATTTATTGCATCCACAATTGCTGATGGGAAAATTTGCTGTTGACGATTCTGATAGAAATAACACAAATTATAATACTTGTGTTTCATTATTAACTCTATAAATATAAATGCGACGCTAAAGTGTTTGTATTGTAGTGTTTCGTATTGGTTTCAGATGTTTGCAACAAATTCTTTCGCTTTTGTTTCAGAGATTATAAAATTTTATGCTGACGACTTTGGTAGAAACAATCCATCAAATTTTACATATATCATACAAGTGTTTCGTTGTTAAGTTAATAAATATAAATGTGAAGCAAAATTGTATCACAGTTATATTTATTGAGTTAATAAATGTAAAATTTGAAGAATTATTTCTGGTAAAATTCTGTCAACAGCAAAATTCATAACTTTTGAAACAGAAGCGAACAAATTTGTTTTAAATCGACACAAAACACCATATTTTTACTTCACTTTCGTATTTATTGAGTTAACAAGGAAACACTTATGCTTATTTATCTATGTATACAAGTGTCAAAAAAGTGTGTGAAAGATTTATTTACTTTTAATTAAAGTATTATAACATACAAATTGGTAAGTTTTTGTTAACTGTTGACCGTTATATAGATCAATATATTAATTGTGATAATTTTTGTTGATCACAACCTATAACTTTACAAAGTTAATATATTATATATTATTTATTGCATCAAAAAGTCATAAAAGTCAATTACAATTAAATGTAACAATTTATAGTGCTACTTTTAATATACTATGAAACAACAATTTATTTTTTTGAAATTTTATCTTTGGCGCCATTTTGATTTATACAAATGTCAAAAAAGTGTTAAAAGAATTTATTTATTTTTAATAAATTAATCCAGCAAACTAAATATTACAATAAATTTAAAGCAAAATAAACTTATTATAACATACAAATTGGTAAGTTTTTAACTGTTGACATTATGTAGACAAATATAATAATAATATGATAATAATGATAATGTGATAATTTTTGTTGGTTACAACCAATTTGGAATTCTTTTACGTAGCTAATATATTATACATTTTTTATTATATTAAAAAGTCATGGAAATCAATTACAATTAAATATAACGATTTAGTTCTACTTTTAATTTGCAATGAAACTACAATTTCATATTTTGAAAAATTCATCCTTGGCGCCACATAAACACGTGGTATTTTAAGGTTGGCGCCATTTTGATTTAAACAAATGTCAAATAAGTGTCCAAAGAATTTATTTATTAGGAATGAAGTATTTTAACAAAATAAATGATATAACATAATAATAAGTTAAATTAAGTCAAGTATTAAGTTTAAATAATTATATTTAGTGTTCAATGTGATCATCCTAGTGTGCAAGTGATTTGCTGGTAATAATTTTATTATTTTTATTTAGGTAGGTGCATACTTTATTGTAATTTAATATTCATAACGTGCATATAGTTGGCTTATTCACTAATAATAACTAATAACTAAGAATAACTCCAGGATTAACCTAATGACATTTAATAATTAACTTAGATTGAAGTATTCATTTATTGAATCAACAGGCTGTTCTACAAGATGTTTTTTGAGGTTTACATTGAAACCCTTTCTGCTTTTATATTTCCATTCATTGAAAAGCCTGTTGTAAATCTTGACACCTAGCTTGTACCTTTGGGAGGATTTCAGTTTCAGTTTTGGAGGTACGACGGTACTCCTGTTTTGTGTGTTGTGGCCATGGACGTCACTCCTCAGTACATGGTTTGTTCTGTCTGCATGGACCGCAATTGCCTGCTGGTAGATGTAAAGGCTGGTAACAGTCAGTATTTTAAATTTAGTAAACAAGTGTCTGCATTGTTTCTAACGTGATGCCCCTCCGATTTCACTTACAGCCTTCTTCTGTAAGTCCATTATCTTGGAGGTATGCACCGAGTGTCCCCATGCCAATATTCCATATGAGTACACAGAGTGAAACATGGCATAATAAGCCTCTCTGGCGCATTCCTCATTTATAATGTATCTAACTCTTCTTATAAATTGATTTCTTCTCATATGAGATGAGACCCAAATATTTAACCTCCCTTCTTTGCGGCTCCTTATGTCTTCTACTGGAAATAAAGTTGTTTTGGATTGTTTTCCTATTGTTGAGTACAACTTGATTTGCTAAAACCAATTTTTCATCGTGCTTGTGAGTATACTGAATTTTTTACTTTCTATTGGCAACCGCCAATGCTGTATCATCTGCAAACTGCATTGTGTGGCAGCTGATGTTCGGTGATAGATCATTCACGATAAAAAGAAGTGGTCCAAGAATACTCCCTTGGGAAATCCCTACATTTAATCTCGCTATATTCCTTCGTTTATTGTTCCATTCCACAAACTGATATCTATTACATAGGTACGATTGCATAAGTTTATGGGCTACGCCTATGATATTCTAATTTCCTGAGAAATATGTCTTGTGGAACACAATCAAAAGCTCTGCTGAGATCAAAATAGTGACCACTTTATGATCTTCCACCGAATTTGAAATAAAGTTCAAAAAGTCTAAAACAGCATCAATTGTATTAATTTTCTTCTTAAATCCAACTTGATTTATTTATTTATTTATTAGCATCAAAGAAACTTGTAGTTCTCAATGCTAACAACATTGCTATAATTTTTGAAAATATTGGCAGCATGGCTATGGGTCTGTTGGTCTGTAGTTTGCTGCTGATTGAAGATTTCCTGATTTATATAATGGTAGTATTTTGCCAGATTCATCTTCTCTGGAAAGGTTCCTGCGGATAAAATGTCTCTGGGGTGTAGTACAGAATAGAATAGAATAGACATTTACTGAAATCCAATAAATATGTCATTTATATTACATAATTCATAATTATTTATGTCATTTATATTACATAATTCATAATTATTCTGAAAATTTATTTATAAAATAATGATTATTTATCAAATGATTTCTAACAATATTTTTAAAAGTATTTTTGGTTTCCCACTTCCATCAATCGGGTAGCTTGTTATAGATCTTGGCACCTAATGTAGTTCTTATCGATGATTTAAGTTTCATTCTTGGACATATAACAGAATTCCTATTTTGCATATTGTGTTCATGGACATCACTTCTCAATATATGATTTTTTTATCAGCATGCACCACAATAGCTTGTTGCCAAATACAAGTAAATAATAAATATTCTTTTGTATTCTTTTGTAGATCCATAACTTTTGAAGTGTGTGCACTATGCAATCTAATATTCCATATGAAAATACAGAATGGAACATAGCAAAGTAGGTTTTCCTGGCAAATTCCTGATTTATTATGGATCTAATACTTCTGATGGCTTTCGAAAGCCTTGCGTATAGTAAATCTATGTGTTAAGCCCAGGTCAGCATATGTTGTTAGTCTCAAGTATCTAACATAACCGCCTTGAAATTTGCCTTCTACTAGAAGATAAATTGATATAAGCAGTTTTATTTTTATTCAGTGCAATTTTATTGGCACTGAATATATATATATATATACACACCTAAGTCTGTTTTTACAACGGTAGATTGGTTCCAGAAGAAGCCGTGTAAAAAAAAAACGTGTAAAAAAAGACATTGATCTTATACAAAAATGGGTGATTTGTTCCTAATCTCTAAAACCTATTAAAATTAGTGAAAAGCAAGAATTTTTAATAACAAGAATTTATGTTTATTTTATTAAATCAAATATATAATGCTTATTTTCACAAGCATTGTAATTAATGATAAAAAAGATATGCACTCTAATCTTAAAAGTAATATAAATTAAATGTATGGCTGACAGATACAAGATTATATGGAGCTCTTTATATTTACATCAAATCTAATAATATAAAATTGTAAATGCAATATACATAAAACAAAGATATATATGTAAGAGATAGTGTAGATATTATGTAATTTAGTTTATGGCTAATGTACCAGTTTATAAAGCCAATAAAATAATAAAAAAAAAATGTATGGCAAGTTCAGGAACTAAAAAACTATGTTGTGAACGAAAAGAATAGGTTATTCAATTTTTAAAGCGCTAAAGAGGAATTCACTTAAATCTGACCAGTAAATTTTATTGTATGCACATAAAGGGAATTCCCCTAAATTAGTGCTTATTCACGTTTGCTTTGACCAGTAAAAATTGTTTGTACGCGCTAAAGGGGAATTCACTTAAATCTTTAAGCTAGTGTTCGCAAACTATCGATACTATCGATAGTTCAGACTTTTTTCTTTCATAAATACTTTTTTGTGATATGAACATACTTCGCAAAAATTAAATTTGACAAAAAAAATTTAAGTACATAAAATTTCAAATCGTGCTAAATGGAATAAAATTGTGTAAAAAATTAAAAATATTCAATTTTTAAACCGTGTTATATCAAAACCGTGTACAAAAAGACCGTGTAAAAACAGACTTAGGTGTATATATATTCTATTTCAATTTTTTATACTTTTTGACAAATAATTAATATCGACATCCTTTTAAAACCAAGAATTTAAGTATTTACATCCTGATATATTATAAAAACAACACGCACACATTTACACAGGTTTTAATTTCTTCTTAAAAAGTTTTTAATAGAATCCCTTTCGTTTAATAATCAGTTTATTATCAATAGTCGTCTCATAACATCGAGGAAATAATACTTTTTGTCTCACATAACAAACTCAAAAAAGAAATTTTGAATTACAAAAATTTGTTTCTTCGTCTGAAAAGAAATTTATAAAAGTACTTTTTTTGATAAAATCTTTTTTAGTGAAAAAGTATTAATGTATCATCAATCATACAGGTAATTAATTCTTTTTTTCAGTAACCTTTTCTTAAAATGTTCTAAAACTTCCTCATTTTTTAACATTCTTAATATTTTGTTATGTAATCCACTCATTTATTTTTATCATTTTTATATTGATTATATGGTCATATTTCTGCACATTATTTTTTCCACAATTTTATTTATTTTATATAAGAAATCCACCACCTTTCTTTCTTAAATACATGGTTTGCTTAAATCTTATCAAGATCATGTTTCTTGACATATGTCCTGAAGATGGAATGTACCTAGCTCCGAAAAGTCAACAGTAATTAAATAAAGAAATGTTTTTTTAAAAACATTTTTTGTTTTTTTTTCAAGGCTCCGTTTTCCATACATTATTCTACTGAATCACACTGAATACTGTCAAAATGTCATGTATTTGCTGTAAATTCATTGCACATAAACTGCATTACATATAAACTACAACGTCACTCCTATGTTATGAAGCTGGGTCAGAAAGACCCTGTTGCCTAGGATCGTTTTTTGACATTTGTCCGATTTCTAGGTTAGATTTTCTATCTGACAACCTTAGAAAAACGCCTGACTGCACAGCAACCACATGGCTTTTGTCAATATTTAGTACGGAAAGTTCTTCATAACATGGCCTTGCCACAACATTAGTCTGTTGTGCGGCAAAATCGTCCCATTAGAAATTTAGTGCCATAATAATAGATGGAGCTATCCTCCATAAGCCATATTTTGAAATCTTCTATTATATAAAAATAAGTCGGGTTTTCCTTTCTGACGATATAACTGCAGAACGCACGAACCAATTTCGACGATTTTGCACTCGTTGGTAGCAAAGAAAATTGAAGAAAAATTTCAACAGAAAGCGGAAAACATTTTTTCTTTTTTTAAACACAGCGCCATCTCTGATACTTAGCATGTTCTACAAACCAATTTTTTAAGTAGATGGCGCCAGTAGATACGTTGTTTGACTGCTACTCATTTGTTTGAAAGCTACTCATTGTTCTCTGCTCAGTTAATTTCATGTGACAAACCGGTATTGTGTTCACTGTGAAATTGTGAAAAAAGTAAAAAAAAAATAAGTTATTCGTTTCCTAACATTTCAATTGGAAACGATCAAATCAATCACGTGTATTGTGCAAATGTTTATTCAGTTTCAACAGCAGGCATTTGTCTTTAAGAGCTTACACCATTGTAGGAGCCAAAAAAAACGTATGTTTTGGCCATTTTTTTCGGGCGGCAGAAAAAGTAATAATATCATGATATTAAAGATAGTTATTTACTGTACTTTAAAGTAACAAAATAAAATATAATTGTAAAAAAAATTAAAACGGCGGTACCACAGCCAATTCAAATTAGAGGCGCTCCGATATTATAGGCATTTAAAAGTGTAATTTATTTATACTGTAAAAAATTTGAATGAAAAAAAAAAACAAATTGTTGTAGTTATTTTGCGTGCCGCGTTGTAAAATCGTGTTTCGAGAAAAACGCGTTTAAAGTTTTGAAATAAATTATAGATAAGAAAAAATAAAAAAAAGTCAGTTTATTCTTAACTTCCCGTAGGGTGAGTTATTGTAATGGGCCGAAAATCGAAATTGAACATTTTTACATTTCTCGACGTTTTGAAGGTTTCTGAACATTTTCCAGGCATACCTCAGAAAAAAATGGATGTGTGTATGTATGAATGTACGGATACAATATTTCGTTCACGTTTTCGGGCGCACGGATCAACGGATTTGAATGGTTCAAAAAACATTCGATTCTTATTGAAAAGTAGATGTGCTGATTAGTTTTTGGCAAAGGCAGGTCCAGCCGTTACGGAGATAAGAAGCAAAGAGTGCAGAAAATACAAATCGAGTTTTTGAGAGAACGGAGTATCCGATTTGAATGATTCAAAAAACTTTCAGCTTGTGTTGACAAAACAATTGCTTTTGGAGAAAAAAAATTCATTCACTTTTTTTCTTTTTTTGTAGATCGAAAATAATTCAGATTTCAATTTTAATTCTCGCTAAAGTTTTAAAGCTCATTTATATACTTTAAATGAATATTTTTGACTATGTGATTCAGTCAAGTTATAGTAATCGCAAAAAATGGAAAATGAAAATTTTTATATATCTTCACGTTTCAAAGGTTTCTGAATATTCTGGCATACCTTAGAAAAAATGGATATATATATGTGTGTATGTATATGTGTATATGTGGGTGCGTGAGTGCGGATACAAATTTTCGTCGACGATTTAGGACACAGATCAACCGATTTGAATATTTTAAAAAACATTCGTTTCGTATTGATAAGGAGACGTGCTGATTAGTTTTTGGCGGCAGCTTTAGCCGTTCCGTAGATAAGGAGCAAAAAATGCCAAAAACTGTAACTCAGTTTTTAAGAGAACGGAGCTTCCGATTTTAATAATTCAAAAAACATTTTACTTGTATTGACAAGAAGAACTGTTCAAATTATTGTGAAGACAGGTCCAGGGGTTATGGACTCTCAATAAACATAAGTTAAAAAAATGTCATTTAGCGGCCAAAAATATTTATTGGACATATGTACATCAAATTATCAGATATTTTACAGAGATTTTATCAATGTGTACACATTTTGTGTAATTTTTTTTTGGTTCCGTACCAAGATTTTTAATTGCGGTACGGGAAGTTCCAGCAATTTGCCTTAAGGCACGATGCCATACACCACTAGTTTACATTTGATTTGCTCGGATATAACAAGACGGCAAAAATAATGAAAGTTACAGTATTTATGATAATATATTTGAAAACGTTTAAAATTTCTCGTTTTTAGTAAATGTATTTGAGCGCTGTCAATTCGGAGCAGCCCAACGCGCATGGGTAAAAGCTCATAATTACAAGTAAAAAAAAAGAAAGTTTTAGGCATGAAATGTTTTTCCTCATATTCTAAAAGGTTCAAAGTTATTTTAAGCCTAATTTTTTTTTTGTTTTTTAGAAAAATCTACAGTGGTTGTAACCCCTTAAGTTGGTAAGTTAAACTGTGTAAATTATGTGGATCATGCATTTAAAGTTAAATTCACCACTCTGTCCATAGTCTAAAATGCCTAGAAGACGACGTGGGAACATCGGCCGCCGCGCAAGACATGCAAGCCAGCAACAAGCGTATTCACGGAACTTAAGCGAAGAAAGACAAAATTTAATAAGAGAAAATGCCCGGTTGAGGCAACGCGTGAGCACACAAATAAGATCATTGGCATCATACAATCGCTTGGCATTTCAATATGATCCCACTGCGAACTACGGTGATGATGAAAATTTTGACATTGGATTAATGAATTACTTAGAGAAGTTCCACTAATTACAGGGGCGTAGCGTGTCTTGGCGGGGCTCCGTATCAAAATTTGTTTGGAGGCCTCCTTCAAAGAAAAATTGTTTTACAAAATATAAAAATATATAAAATTAAAGGAATATTTATTTATTAGGTGCGCAAATAAGTTCTCGCTGTTTTTCGATGAAAATGTAACTTTATTATATAAAAACTCTTACATATGGATTCATTCAAGATATTGTCCATCGCTGGACACATCTTCAGCTAATCTTTCTGGCAGAGCTCGAATACCTTGGCGCCAGAAAAGTTCGTCTTTTGAGGCTATCCACGAACCAAGTCTGACGTCTTCATATGAGTTGAACCGCTGATCAGCCAGGCCATGTGCCATCGAACGGACCATGTAAAAAATGGACAGTGCAATATCTGGGGAATGTAGCGGGTGGGGTAGGACTTTTTATTTGATCGTTCCCAATAAGTTTTAAGGGGCTTGAAAACGTGAGGCCGAGCTTTGCCATGCAGTAAAATCACTCGGCTCGTATTGTGTCCGTTTTTCGCGCAGTGCTCGGTTAAATTGCATCAATTGAGTTGAATACAGTCTCCAGTGATAGTTTTGCTCGGTTTCAACAGCTCATAATAAATAACACCGACCTGGTCCCACCATATGCAAAGCATAACCTTCGTAGTGAATATTTGGCCAAACCGAGATTTTCTCCTCTTTGGATTGCTCTATTGCATTCATTTTGTATCACCTGTGACGATGTGATATAGAACCCTTCTTTTCTTGCCGCTGGAGAGCAATTGCTCACAGGCGAAAAAATGACGCTCGACGTCTCTTGGCTTCAGCTCACAAGGCACCCAAGTTTCTTGCTTCTGAATCTTCGCCAATGCATGTGATCACTTGGCTTGATGGGTGACTCTTAATTCTGAGGCAAGATTTTCTTAAGTTTGGCACGAATACTCTTCGAGCAGGGCCTTCAATTTAGCGTTTTTGGAGGTTTTGGCCTTCCTTTACTAGGGAGGTCGTCAACATTAAAATCGCCGTTTTTGAAGCGACAAAACCCATCACGACATGTTGTTTCGCCCAAAGTTTCCGTTGCTCTCGATGCACTTGAGCTGCTGTTTTTTTCAAATGAAAGGAGAAAATCAACACTAACATTAGACATTTTCACTTGATCAGAAGTATATAATGCAAAAACTAAATCACTTATGTGTCGCATCAGTTTGTTTGCCATATGTCTAAGCTTGGTTCATGACGTTTTGGATTTGTCAAAATCGACCAACCCTTACTGGTAGAGCCATATACTGACAAACAGCGAGAACTTAGTTGCGCACCTAATACAAAGAAAAGGCTCGGCTAATCGTCGCGCAAAATTGATAAATGCTAGTCCTCATCGAGATACATCAAATGTTTTCAAATTTTTGAAATCGGTCCAGCCGTTTATGAGAAAACGGCAAAAAATCTGTTCACACACGCACACATACTTTTTCTAAATTTCGTTCGGTTTGATTCAGAATGGTTCGAAACGTCGAGAAAACATAATATTAGCGATTAGGTTTTTTTATGAATTCCAATTTTCGACGGAGAACGGATGTGCAAAAGCTTTACAAATTGAATTGATTGCTAGAGCTTGCAGAAATATTGCAGCAGAAATAAATTCTCTTAAAGCGTTAGCTTACAAGTTGAAGTTCAATACTTCTCGATAACAAAAAGAAATGCAAACTACGTTAAAATTATTCAATTTTTTCAAAAATTGTTGTTTTGCTTTCTGCTTGCGCTCTTTGCCCCCCCCCTGGCTCGGGGGCCCCGTATTTTTGATACGGCGGAGTTACGCCCCTGACTAAATAACACTTCATTTTTGTAATCGAAATAAATTCATTACTGTTGTGAAATGTAGTAAATTTTTTTCTTTTAAATATAAAACACAAAAATTTTTTTCTTCATTATTTAATCGCCAAACGAAATGTTACATAATAGAGATGGGCTTATCATATCCGAAGCCGGATCGACTCGGATTTGACTCCGCTTCAGGAAGGAGTTAGATCCGCTTAACAACTCCACGACTTCGACAACTTTGAAACCGAAATACTCGATACAAATGTGTTCATAATGCATTAAATTTTATGCATCTAAGGATTTGTCAAATACCATTTAATTTTTTTAAATGAAAATTCACGAATAAAATAAAATTAAAAAATATTAATAATATAATTTTTCTAAAAAAATCACAAATAAATGACGAGTTTAAAAAAATTTCGGTCGACCACATGATCGACTCAATGACTCGTAATTTTTTTTGTATTAATTTTATATAGAAATAATTTAGTAAACTTTGTGATAAAAGCAAAACATTAATCATAAAATATTTTCACCAAATAATACTTCTGCTTTCTAATTTTTTCTTAAATACTATTGACGTCACTGATATACTTTGCACTCTAAAGTATTGTTATTTCAGGCTATGGAAAAACCAGATTAAATGTATTTTGTTTCGTGTATTTTTCGGTATGTATATTCCTGATTGCCGTAATTCACGGCCAAAGATTGTCGTAGCTAGAAATATGTCCTCTTACTATTCAATAAATTATACATTGGAGCTATTCACACTTGAGCACAACTTCATTGTTGTGTATCCTTGAAGTAATATTTTCTGAAAAAAACGTATACCTAAAAGGACATAAAACTGCCCGTGAGACGGGAAAGCGACAGCTTCCTTCCCAAACAACAACGCAGTAACAGATTTAGTACTAGTTTAGGGAAGTCGGATATGACAAATCCGGTGAGACAACTCCACTCGGATTCACTCCTAGGGAGGAGTTGTATCGGAGTAGGGAATGCAATACCGGTATACTGGTATACCAAATTACCGGTAAACCGCCCGATTTTTCGGCGGTATTTTTACCGGTAATTACCCCAAAAATACCGGTATTTTCTGTATTTTTACATAAGCGCTATTTGATACATAATACACTAAAGTTTAAATTTTTCGGAATAAATTTATCTTTAAATTCCATAATCGCATAAACAGCTATATCTTCAAGTGATTCTATAGGATAAACAAATGTCAAATATTATCTCAACACTGAATATTTATTGCTTTCCAAAGGGCTTCATATCGTGTTACAATAAATAGAATTGGACTGATAGATAATGATGTTTGTTTAATCTTATGTAAAAATGTAACGGTTTTTTAAGTGATATTTGCGCCAAAATATTTTATATCATACAGATTACCCTTGCGTAATCTTTATTTTTTTTCTAACTTTATACATAATAATTATGATAATTACTAAATATTTTTGCTTCTTATTACAATTATAAAATATTATTTTTCGAAAATGTTTCTAAATTTGAAAATATAGTAACTTATTATTTATCTCGACAAAGTACCCGATCTTAAATTAGTGTAGATTTTTTTTTTTTAAATATTGAAGATTATGCTATTTTAACACATCGGATGTAGACAATACAGTTTATTATAATAATGTAATATGATCTTTTATGAGTTTTTGGTCTTTCTTACTCATAAGTTTATTTTTGGTGAAAAGTACTCAATATACTCGATAGTGATAATGAATTAATTAAATTGGATATAATTTTGCTTGTTTTTATTGTTTAGTTGAATATAGTTGTAGTTGTATATACATTTTTTTATATTTGTACTAGTAACTTTCAATTTTGTTTACGTTTGTTTAAGATAATAAAAATACAGGTAATTTACCGGTACTCCGGTTTTAAAATGAAAAATTACCGAAATACCGGTATTGAAATTTTCCATCGGTATTGCATTCCCTATATCGGAGTGATAACACCGGAAGAGTTACTCATCTCTATTACATAAAATGAAACCATCTGGTGGTGAAACGGAGTTCGCCGGGTTTGCTAGTTGTAGCTTGATGTACTTATTGCATAGAGCATGATTATAAATAAAACTAAAAATGACTTTTTTATGTTTCAGTGATAACCGAAATAATGGCTCCTCGCAAGTCAATAATTAACCGCGATGCTCGAGAGGCACGAAGAGCAAAAAGACGCCGTTTGAATATGACTGAGGAACAACGAGCCGCCGATCGAGAGAAGAGAAGACTAAGACACGTCCAGAAGCGTAAGGCGGAAACACCAGAACAACGAGAAGCCAGGCTTGAAATTGAACGAATGCGACAACGTAAATCGCGTATTGCAAAACAACAAATATTGCGTCACGAAAAACGGAAGGCAGAGATACAGAAAGTATAGCTTATATATTACATTTATCTATCTATCTGTATATTATTGGGACCAGTGGCGGATTAAGCTTTCTGTCGCTCTAAGCCCTATCCGTTCAGGCGCCCTTTTTAATAGACAAAATTTTACTTTTTTAATTAAACAATTTATTTTAAATTATTTAGATATAATTTTTAACTTTGCGTTGGGTAAGTTATAACAATTTCAAAATGAAAATGTTTTTTTTTATCTTCAAGTTTCAACATTTTGGTATACTTGTACATTAAACCTTGTACAGTAAACCCTCGCTTTACGCGGCAAGTGCGTACCGTGCAGTATGGGGACCGTGCTATAAAAACCTCGTATTTAACATACAATTCAGGCTAATTCGTAATGCGTTCTATAGAACCTTACATAGTGCAGTATGGGGACCGTGCTATGAGAGACTCAGAGTTTGTACAAATCGCACCAGTTTTATTGTGCTGTATGAAGACCAAGAAATACAACTTGAAGTAGGAGTAATACGGACGAAATGACATTTATGACATTGACACCTTATTCAAAAATTGGCGCGACGCAGTAGTCAGCTAAAACGTGTTTTTAGGCAGCTATTATATAATCAGACATGCCTAAAAGATTGAAGTCGATAACAAAACTTTACATTAACACCCTTTTGATATCAAGTTCCTATAATCACTCATACGTTGCGCAAGGAATTACTGCGCTGTTGAACAAAAACGGTGTAATAGGAAGTCCGTGTTGTCGGAGGGATGTCGGATTTTTAGCCCCGTGTAGTATGGGAACCGCGTACCCAGAGTGCCGTGTAAAGCGAGGGTCTACTGTATATGTGTGTACGCAGTGGCGGCGCTAGACCATGCGTGGGCGTCGGCGAAATTCGTTTGCGAGGCCCCCTTTTTTTACCAGTTGCAAGTTGACTAGAGGTGCATGGCATCGTGCCTTAAGGCAAATTGCTGCAATTTTCCATGTTGTAATTTAAATTTTTTAAAAGCTTTGAAAAAATTTGGAATCTGAAAGAATTTGACTTTTTTAATTTGAAAATTGTATTTACCAAAAACTAATCAGCACATCTCCCCGACAATTGAATCATTCAATCGGTTGATTCGTCTCAAAAACGTCAACAAAAAAATGCAACAGCAAATACACGATCATACTTTTATTTTTCAAAATGTTTAGAAGGTTTTGAAACAAAAATATTTATAAACAATTGATTTACGTTTCGTTTTTCGAATTACTATGACTTACCTGTGAAGGAAATGCCAATTGGTGGTCCAAGTGATCAATGAACATAAGCACACCAAATTGGCAGATATTCTAGTTTAGGTTCACTTTTATCTTATAGATGTCATTTTAAAGAAAAAACTAGTGGCATCGTGCTTTATGGCAAATTGCTGGAACTTTCCGTACCACAAATTATTATTTTTTTAAAAACAATTGACATTTTTAAAAAAAAATTACTTCGCAACAATTAGATTTTTGAGAAACTATAAATTTGACAAAAAATTACTTTTTTTTGAAAAAAATTTTCTTTTTTGAAAAAAAATGTTATCTTTATTTTGACATATTTTAGAAATTCTGAACTTTTTTTCAAAGTAATCGTACTGCTTTAACTGCATAGAGACGAAATGTCAAAGCGCGTAAGCGCCGCGTCGCCGTAACAGATAAACACTGGTACGGAACCCATAGGAATGTAAACAAAATTTATACTTATTGTTAAAATCTCTATAAAATATCAGATAATTTGATATGCATATGTCTAATGATCATTTTTGACCGCCAAATGGCATTTTTTTACTTTTTTCATATGATCTCCGAAACCGCTAGACCTGCCTTCACGAAAATTTGATCAATTCTTCATCTTGTCAATACAAGTAAAATGTTTTTCGAATTATTCAAATCAGAAGCTCCGTTCTCTGAAAAACTGAGTTACCGTTTTTGGCACTTTTTGCCCCATGTCTTCGGAACGGCTAGACCTGCCTTCGCCAAAAACTAATCAGCACGTCTCCTTATCAATACGAATCGAATGTTTTTTAAATTATTCAAATTGGTTAATCGGTGTTTCCGAAATCGTCGACGGAAAATTGTATCCGCACACACACACACATACATCAATTTTTTAAAGGTATGCCAAAATAGTCAGAAACCTTTGAAACGTAAAGATATATTTATATAAATTTTCATTTTCGATTTTTTGCGATTACTATAACTTACCCTACGGGAAGTTAATAATATACTCGAACAACAAAATAATTAATTTATTATAAAATAACACTTAATATATTATGTTAATTTCCGAACTAATATAAGAAACTATTTTAAAGCGTTTTGTATGTAAGATTCACCTTAACAAAGTTGCAAGAAATGAACAGAGCTTCAATATTTCTTCCAAAGAACCTTATCAATTTATTTATTTATTTCTCCCTTATCAATTATTTTATTTCTTAATTATTTTATTAACTTCCGTTTGTTTTCGTCAAAAAATCCGACTCACTAATTTTATGTTTTCTCGACATTTCAAGCCATTCTGAATCGAATGAGACCAAATTTGAAAAAAGTATATGTATGTGTGTTTGTGCGTGTGCGTGAACGTTTTTTTTTGTTGTAATTCGACGTTTTCTCAAAAACGGCTGTACCGATTTCAAAATTTTATAAGCCATTCGATGTATCTCGATGAGGACTATCGTTTATCAATTTTGTGTGACGATCGGCCTAACCGTTTCTTCGTAAATAGCAGAAAAGTGAAAAATTTTTCGTCCGCGTTTTAGCCCGCAATTCTGAATCGATCTTGAAAATTCAAAAACCGTTCGAGAGATGCACACATTGATTGGGAATCGTGCTGATTAGTTTTTGGTAAAGATCGGCCGGGCGGTTTTCTTGTATTAAAATTAAAGTGTTAAAAAAATTTTTTGGTGATTTTCATGATTTTTTTTGTGATAGATTTCATAGTTTTCTAGATCATATTAAAATATTACGGCCCTACGACAAATCGTTTAATTTTGAAAATTCGTCAAAGTTAGTATCGTTTTTTTGGCGTTTGTCAAAATTAGAACTTTCATCAACGTTTGCTCTAAAACGCTTGAACCGATTTCAGATTATGTATTCATTTGATGTATCTCGATGAGGATTGTCGTTTGTCAGTTTTGTGCGACGATTTGCCAAGCCGTTTCTTTATAATTTGGAAAAAAGTGTTACACTTTTCGTCCACATTTTATTAAGCTCATACTACCGAATCGATTTAAAAAAATCAAAAACTGTTCGAAAGATATTAGTTGGAAATGACACTGATTACTTTTAGGTAAAAATCTACCGAGCCGTTTTCTTATAATTAAATGTTGAAAAAAAAATTTAAACCGATTTTTTTGGAGCTTTTTTTGCCGATATATATCATGGTCTTATAGAACTTACTGAAATATTACGGCCTTACGACAAGTAGTTTAATTTTAAAAATTCATCAAAGCTTGAGAAAATGAGTAGTTTTTTTGACGTTTGTTAAAATTAAAATTATACGATTTACTTGGTATAACGATAGAGTACTTGGCATTAATATACATTCTAAATCATTAAAGTCCTACGAAAACTGGTTCAATTTTAAAAATTATTGATTTGTCAAAATTAGTTATTAGAAAATACTCCGAGACAACGTGTTCGTTTGTTTTCAATTATGTGTAATGAATCCACTCGGAATACTTTTAATCACTCATAAATTAATTTATTTTTTATTGATTAAATCGATGATTTACACATAGTTCGGGAAGTTCATGTAACTTGCCTCAAGGCAAAATACCAATACCAACTAGTTAATTTTGGATTTATATTCTTCGTTTTAATTTTTTTCACAAAACAGAGTTTTATTAGATGATTTATATCTACATGTATATAAAAAAAGTCGGGTTTTCCTTCCTGACGATATAAGTCCAGAACGCACAAACCGATTTCGAAAATTTTGCATTTGTTGGCCTCGGGCTTCGCAAGGCTCATAGCTAAGAAAATTAGTGGTGCCTCAATGCAAATTGCTGGAACTTCACGCACCGTAATTAAAAATTAGTGAGAATTATCAGAATTATGCTCGGTTATGTCAACAAGCAATTCTTGCCGCAAAGAATAATGATGTACACGCCCTGAATTTCACCATTCAATCAAAAATTGCTGGCGATTTGGTGACATACCAATGATTCCGACTGGTCTTTCATTTGACTTCAAACGATTGGAATTTCCAGTTCGCCTTGCGTTCGAAATAACAAGTCGCAAGACCAATCGCTTAGTGTTTGCGGAATAAATTTCAAATAGATTATTTAGAAAACCATTGTTTTTCACATGGGCAGTTATACGTTTCCTGTTCACGAGTTGGGAAACCATCCGCTTTCTTTGTGTTAACGTCAGACCAAAAAACAAAAAATGTGGTTTACCAAAGAGCACTTCAATGAAACGGATATTTTGCGAATTCACTTTCATTTACTTAGAGAAGTTCAACTAAAAAACACTTTATTTTTGTAATCGAAATAAATTCATTACTATTGTGTAATAAAATCAGGTGGCGAAACGGAGTTCGTATAAATATTCATCTTAATTAATTTTCATGCACAAATTATATTTATAATTACAGAAAATTGTTTTTCTAGTTTGTTGAAGAAGAACTGGCGAAAAGAAAACCACGCTCAAGACAAACAATCAATAAACATCTTTTAGCATTGTTACCAATTCAATATCTTCAAAAGAAACAAGAAATAGATAATTATGAAATAACTGAAATATGTCCAAAAAATGAAGAAATATGTCTACAGCGATTTTTAGAGTCTGAGATAAGAATAGATGAACAAATAAAACAGGAACCGGTTGTTGAGCATGTTGATGTGGCCTCTAGTAGAAATCCAACTGAAATATGTCCAGAAAATGAAGAAATATGTCTACAACGATTTTTAGAATCTGAGATAACGATAGATGAACAAATAAAGCAGGAACTGATTGATGAGCAAGATGTGGCCACCAGTACAAATCAAACAAGTGAAGTAGTACTGATGAACGCCTTTGTACATTGTAGGTCATGCAATACAATAAAATCTACATTAAATCGTCATGAAAGAATTCATACTGGACCATACCCTTATATTTGTGAAACATGCAAAAGAAAACAGTAAGTTATTATCGTTATTATTTTAATTTATGATTTAAATACTTGCCTGATGACATGATGATTTTTTGTTATCTAATTTGATATAGTTTATATTGAGATATAATGATAAAATTTACATCGAGGAAGTCGTTTTCACGCAAGATAAGAATGTAATAAATTGTAATGAATTATTTGGTAATGTAATATACTAAAGTCTCAAAAACATTCATTTCATTGTTTATAGTTCATTGTTTAAATTAATGTTTGCGATTTAAATATCGCGCTTTAAACCTGAAGTTAACTTCATGATAATGTCAAAATGGCGGTATGCGTCAAAATTTATCTGTTTTTTCTTAAGTAAAACTTCTTTAGACGCCGCCAGGGTGTAAATCTGCGATAATGCAACGAAAATTGCGTTACGCCCGAACTGTACGTTATTTGCTCTCGATTAAATCATTTCAATACGGGTCGATTGTGATTAGTCGTCGTGTCGCGTGAATAGACATCTGTCGTTGTGTGCGTACCGATATCAACAAGAAAATCTGCATAGATAAATAAACATTTTAAGGTTACATCGTAGTACAAATCTTGATTTAATAAAAAAAAATCCTGAATCAAGAATATTTTACCCTGTTTCCCGTAAATAATTATAATGAAAATAATAAAAAATAAAACATTTGTGCTATGTACTAAACGTAATTTTATTAAATTAATTTCTATATTATTCGTATTTTCTATAAACTTTTGAAGTTATTAAAATGGAAAATATTTTTCAGGCAAGACAGATATTACAGCTGCTCAAAGAATGAGATTATATCGCCAGTGAAAAAGTAAAAAAATATCACGCGATTGAAGTAAAACTTTTTTGCTATTGCATGAGATGGCATTTAAGTAAAAAATAAATACATCATATAACAATTTTGAATAATCTTTATTAGTAATATGGTAACACTCGTGATGCACACATTTATTAGTGCCAATCCTTATACATATTTATATAACAATATATTATAAATTATATATTTATAATAGAATTACAAATATTTATTATATTTGAAAACAATAATGTAATTAAAGTCTACTTCAAATATGACATGATCGGTTTGTCATTGTAATTAGCGTTTAGTACTTGAACCTTTATTAGATAAATGAAGTAATTGCTGATTAATAAATTCTATAATATTCGTTCACACAGTGGATTATGTTAAACAATGCCTGAAGAAATATTGTTTTCACAATTTCACTCTCCATGTAATAATTGTGTTTGAAGAAACACAATTATTACATGAAGAACTTCATGTAATTAAAATTATTATTATATATTTTTATTTTTTTGCTGTATATAATCTCATTCTTTGAGTAGCTGTAATCTAAAAAAGAGCTGTAGTCTAAAAAATATTTTCTATTTTGTTAACTTCAAAGATTTATAGAAACTACGAATAATATAGAAATTAATTTAATAAACTTATGTTTAGTACACGGCACAAATGTTTCATTTGTTTTGTCATTTTCATTATAATTATTTATGGGAAACAGAGTAAAATATTTTTCTAATTCTGGCATTTGTTTTATTAAATCAAGATTTGTACTACGATGTAACCTTAAAATGTTTATTTATATATGCCGATTTCCTTGGTGATATTGGTACGCATACAACGAAAGATCACTATTCACTCGACACGACGACTAATCACAATCGACCCGTATAGAAATGATTTCATCGAGAACGAATGACAAACAGTTCGGGCGTAACGCAAATTCCGTTGCATTCTCACAGATTTACACCCCAGTCGCGCCTAAGAAGTTTTACTTTAAAAATACAAGCAGTCAATAAATGTATGTTAATTTTAATTCTTCAAACACAATTATTACATGATGAATGAAATTGTGAAACAATATATGTTTAGGCGTTGTTTAACATAATCTGGTGTGAAGGAACATTGTAGAATTTATTAATCAGCAATTACTTCATTTCTCTAATGAAGGTTCAATTCTAAATGCTAATTACAATGACAAACCGATAATGTTACATTTGAAGTACGACATTACTGTACGATATTATTGTTTTTAAATATGATACTATTATGAATTATATAAGTGTGTATTATAATTTGTTTATTATAATACATTATTTGTTTGTTATAATGATGTTTCAAAAACATATTTAAGTTTATTGTTTTAAGTTAATTTGCGATTTAAATATTGCGCGTTAAAGCTGAAGCCAACTTCAAGACAATGTAAAAATGTCGCTATGTGTCAAAATTTGTTTTTTTGGTATTTTTTAATTTGAATGAGTAATATTAAAATAAACTAGCTGTAAGTGGAATTCTGTCTTAAGGCAATTAAGGCATCGTGCCTTAAGGCAAATTGCTGGAACTTCCCGTGCCAAAAATTATTATTTTTTTTAAAAACGATTAACATTTTTGAAAAAATTTTACTTCGAAAAAATAAGATTTTTTAGAAATTTTAAATTGGACAAAAAATTACTTTTTTTGAAAAAAAAATTTTTTTTAAAAAAAATTTTTAAACTTTTTTTTTGTAAAAATTTTTTTTGGAAAAAATGTTATCTTCATTTTGACATATTTTGGAAGATCTGAACTTTTTTTTCAAAGCAATCGTACTGCCTTAACTGCATAGAGACAAAATATAAAGCGCGTAAGCGCCGCGTCGCTGTCTAACGGAAAAACATTGGTACGGAACCCATAGGAATGTAAACAAAACTTATACTTATTGTTAAAATCTCAATAAATATCTGATAATTTGATATGCATATGTCTAATGTCTAATGATTATTGTTGACCGCCAAATGTTATTTTTTTTAGTTTTTTTTACTAGATCTCCGAAACGCGCTAGACCTATCTTCATGAAAATTTGATCAAATCTTCATCCTGTTAATACAAGTAAAATGTTTTTTAATTATTCCAATCGGACGCTCCGTTCTCTTAAAAACTGAGTTACCGTTTTTGGCCCTTTTTGCCCCATATCTTCGGAATGGCTAGACCTGCCTTTGACAAAAACTAATCAGCACGTCTCCTTATCAATACGAATCGAATGTTTTTTTGAATTATTCAAATTGCTTCATCCGTGTTCCCGAAATCGTCGACGAAAATTTGTATCCGAACACACACACATGGACGCACACACACACACAACACATACATAAATTTTTCTCCAAGGTATGCCAACATATTCAGAAACCTCTGAAACGTGAAGATATATAAAAATTTTCATTTTCGATTTTTTTGCGATTACTTACCCTATGGAAAGTTAATTATAAATAAATCTTTATCATCTCCAGAACATTAACAATCGTCATTTCATTTCGAATCAAATTCCAAAAAAAATAGTTGCCAAATTTACACAAAATTGAAAAAGTGCTCCCGCATAGTCACAGTCTAAACGCATTTGCAAATAATTCTTTGCGACATTTTCACTTATACTGTGCTCAGCTTGGCGGCATTTTCACATTTTTCAATAATTTTCACAAAATTGGAAAAGTGCTCCAGTACACAAACAGTCTAAACGCACTTGGGTAAACATTTGTACCAGAGTGGCGCTTAGACTGTGCTTAGCTTGGGTGATTTTTTGAATTTTTAGTCCAAAATTACAAAAAAAATTTTTTTGAAAAAAATTAGAATCAAAAAATTTTTTTTTCCAAAATCAATTGTTTTTGTTGAAAAAAGCAGAAAGTTCTTTGAATCATTTAAATCGGACGCTTAGTTCTCTCAAAAACAGCCATTTTTTTTAAATTTAGCTCTGTAACTCCGAAACCTCTGGGCCTACCTTTGCCAAAAACTAATCAGCACATCTCCCTATCAATAGGATCGAATGTTTTTTTAAACCATTCAAATCGGTTGATCCGTTCTCTCAAAAATTCCGTTTCTATTTTTTGCACTCTTTGCTCCATATCTCCGTAACGGCTGGACCTGCCTGCAAAAACTAATCAGCACATCTCCCTATCAATAGGAATCGAATGTTTTTTTTAACCATTCAAATCGGTTGATCCGTGCGCCCGAAAACGTGGACGAAAAAAAGCGGACATACAAAACACACACACACACACACACACACACACACACACACCACACATCCATTTTTTCTGAAGTATGCCAAAATGTTCAAAACCTTCAAAACGTCGAGAAATGTAAAAATTTTTGATTTCGATTTTTGGACGATTACTATAACTTACCCTACGGAAGTTAAAAATCAATCTGCCAGACCATTTCGACCTGCACAAGTACCTGCCAACGAGCTGGGAAAGTTGAGCAAAATGCCCCAAAATTAAACTTTGTCCTGTAAAGCTGGAATTTACATATGTGTTTATCTAAGCAATCGAAAAAGGTCTGTGCAATTGCCAGACCATTCTGGCTAG